GCTCTGAAGCTAGCCAACATCAACAACAACACATCTCGGTTGTGGTACTTTAAAGATGATGGTGACAGGGAAGAGGAACGGGGGGAACAAACACTAAAAGGATTTGACCCGTCCCATTTCACTCAGAGCTCCATTTACACTCTTCCTGTTCAGATAAATGTCGTGAACATACTCTGAACAGCGGACACTTGAGTAACAAAAGACACCCTTGCTGTGGCAACTTAAACAACAAGACATACAGTACAGACATCCAAACATACAAGTTTACAGATTCGTCTCAGTGAATGACAGAATAATTTAGAAATGTTGCTGCTTAAATGAATCTAAAACAATTTGAAACAAATTGAAGACTGAACCTGATGAAGATCAAGATATTCAAACTTATATTTGCATCCTTACATTTCAGAAAACAGCAAAACCTCAATATTGTGGAGTTTTGTGATAGTTTGTACAGTATGTGTGCTCTGTTGTGTCACCTTACAAATATTTTTGCTTTGCCAATTCTCCGCATTGTTGTTCTTGCTCTAAGTCGGACTCATCAATTATAAGATTGGTTTCCATCTGTTCAGCAGTAAGAATTGAAAAAATAATTTTAAGGAACACTTTCTAAGTTCAATATTTGCAATCGCCATGTCACTGAATGGTCACCGTCAGCTGGGTCTGTCAACACAGCTGGATGCTGGGGATTACTGTCATTTGCTTAGCCATTAGTTTTGACAGCTGTAAAGGTGCTTAAATACAATAAAGTCACTGTTGCATTTTAACCAGTAAGCTAAATAAGGTTCCTTGTTTATCACTCACAGCTACAATACATATATCAATTATCAAATAACTAACAAACAAGGTTATGGTAGCATTACTGCATTGGATCATATTATGGAAAAACACCTCTTCTGCTGAGTGACTGTCACTGATCTGGATCTGGATTTAAACAACCAGGGCTTCGCTTCAGTATCTAATCCATTTGTCTTTTTAGAGACACTTAAATCTATTATTCAGTGTTCCTATATTCAGCACCCCCTGGTTTAACAGTGACACACAAGTAAACCCAACTTTGCATAGCCTTCTTGTGCATCGAGATTTTCTGCACAGCGGCATGCCTCTTATAATTTCCTAACAGTAAGTCCTTGAAAGTAAAAAAGGGCAGCTGCTCCTGCAGATTAGTGCAACGTTGTTTTGACAAGCCTGCAGAGGCACACATGAACAATTGAAAGGTGTGCAGATCAGGCACAGGTTAGAGAGAACATAGGACAACAAGGACAGGCAGCCTGGCAAAGATCTGTGATAACAGGGTAATAGGACAAGTCGTGCATGCCATAGGCTGTAATAATCAAATGGACAATCTGTTCATCGCGGTCTAAAGACACCAACAATGATAGGTCGACTGTTCATACTGCGATGATTATTTAACAAACAAAACCCGTATATGGCATATCAACAATAAAGCATGAGTAGGTGTCAACCATCAAACCTTAGACATCACATTTGACAGACCACAACTCCAACAGACTGCAACGTGACTTGTGAATAGTAACGTGTTTTTAACCTTGTTCAAAGTGTTATGGTAAATCCTATTGTAGCTGATACACTGTGTTCAGAAGCGAAGTCACAGATAAGCCAAGCAGAAGAGTAGCCTGCCGAGCGATAGCTATTGTTACGCAATATCAACACAGAAAACTGAGGAATGCGACTCACGTCAATGCACAAAAACAGCTATCAGCGGCAGATGGATGCGAGCACTCCTCCTCGCTTACACAAAGATAACCACAATGACTTGTCAGACTCTCCTCAGCTTATAAACACAATGCCAGGATGTGTACGTGCGACTGACATAGTAAGATTATTGACCAATGTCACCTACCGTCACAGAGCTAGCTATCCAGACAGTATGTGACTCATGGTGTGTGTCCCTTACAGATAAGCAAACTTCCAAAACAGACACCTCGAAAGCAGAGTTTCACTTAACGATCAGACACACTGGACAACAACAAAAACGAGGGAGTGGCAGTGTGGCACTGCTTGCAACGATAGTTGCATAAAGCGGATTAGCAAGCTAACATGGATAGCTAACGCTTCTTAGGCAAAGCAATCCGTTTCCATTATTAACAACAAACCACTCTCAATTTAGCTCGCTAGCCCTGCTCTCTGAGCGAGACTATTTGCTGATGTGTTACACATGCATTCAAAACAAACACCTTTATGCTAAAGGATCTCCGATGTATCCAGTAAGGCAAACTAAGAGCTGTCAATGCTGGAGACCATACAAGTTGTGACAGCAACTTTTGGTTAGCTGAGGAGCAACAAATACAGTTAGCGGGCTAGCTTATGAGCTAACCTATGTTAAAATCCACTGCAGCATGTTTCAGAACAAAATCTACCCATCGTATGTTAGCAGGAAGCTTTAGTTAACGACCCACTCACCTTGTTAAAATGAATCCACACAGGTTGACATGTGGGGTGTGAATGGCTGATTAACACGGCAGAGTGAGAGGATGAAATCACAGACGAGGCAATGCAGTCCAGAGAAATCAAAGTGTGAACTCGTTAGCAATGCTAACCTAACCACACGAGTGCCCTGCCCAATTTAGACGTTAACGCTGACTTCGAGTCTAGCTTACTTGTTTGAGCAGTAACCGTTATCTTTTTCATTTATGCTGGTCGGCCACAGGAGTCTTATATCTGCGTGAAGCAGGCTGCCCTGGCTGACGACTGTCTGTCAAGCAATAACTGTCACAACGAACTGGTAGGCAGGCAAGATACTACTGGCTAGATAGGCTAGCTGCTAACGTCAGGCAGCAGCCAGTAGCTAGCAAAGTTTCTCTCTTCAATAGGCAGTTCCACAAAAAATGGCGGCGAAGAGATTCACTTCCCTTCAATCGTGAAGGAGTCAAGAAGCAAATTAATCGAAAAATGAACAGCGTCGGAGCGGTACAGTCAGCTTAAAGTGAGGCGAGAGTACACGTGTGACAGTTTTCTGAGTCTTGTTGTTGTTGCCCAGCTGTACCCTTCAGGGTAAATGTTGCCCCCTCCCAAATCTCAGTGTGCCACTGCTGTGCCACAACTGCAAGCATAAGTGAATGTATGGAGAGAGCATAAAGGACTCTAGAGCAGGGGATAACCAACTATTGGACATTACTCTCTCTCACTACATGTGTTTGTTTTTGCACTTTCTGCCACTGAGCTCTTAATCGGGTGTCTACTATAAATAGCATGTCGTTTACTCCTAAACGACATTTAAAACTGTTCAGATGTGTCCTTGTACAATAACAGATGCAGGGATGACTGTTTAGGGACCACACTGTGCAGTGCATCAGTCCTTAATCCTAGTGTGATGAAAATAGTTGGTTTTCATCAGAACACAATCATGCATTCTACTAAACAGTAATAGTGTGGACCATGTGTGCTGGCATATCATTTTCAATAGCCTACTGATGACAACATCCTCTAATGTTGCACTCTAAAAGAATGCAACATTACTAACCCTATGTAAGCAAAATATGTGTAGGATACTTTAATAATCCATGAACTGGCATGATTTACATGGTTACATGATTTTTAAAATATAAAGTATGATTAAACAGTGAAAGGGACTTGCACCAGGTGATGCCAGTCTCAAAAACAGGTAAGAAATTGACATGAGTCAATTGATGCACAACACATGTTATCATTTATAAGACTGTCAGCTTCCTACCTTTATGTGTTAACATCAGGGAAGCATAGATTTGAGTAGCTGAAGCCTATATTGTTTAGTCTGCACTCACTGAGATATATTTCATAATAGTTTCTAGTTATAGCTTGAAAACAACCTTTTATGTCAGTATACATGTGACACCGCATCCCAGAGGATTACTCATGTAGCTGTAATCTGCATCCAGAAAAGATAGGATATGTGCAATGTGCATGGCAGCAGAGGTTGAAAATGGGCATTCCACAACAGGCTGCAGGCTGAGAAACCAATCAGCTCGCAGAACGGAGCTCAGTGGGCTTTCATTGGTTGCTTGGTAGCCCTGTTGTCATGATGATGGGAATCGGGTCCTGCCTGTGTGGTCTGTATCCAGGCACTGAAGCAAATGATATGGATGGATAGGCTGCAGAACTTCCTGTTCCTGGCATGCACACATATTTATATATCTATATATGTGTGTGTGTCTATAATATAATTTCTATTTTATTTGTTTATTCAAACTAGAACTGAACATATGTGGGATGACTTGTTAACACATACTAATACATAATAATCTGTCCCACTCATGCTTTCTAAAGATGCACATTCATAAATAGTTGCTTGTTAAGAAAAATAGTTAGAGCATGTATAAGTAAATAGTTGGAATCCCCCAAGCACTTATCTTGTGCAATTGCTACTCCTAGTACATTGAGGACTTTCATTAACACTTAAAATGTACAATTGTATTATTTTATTATATCAGGACTGAACCAAATCAGTTCAGTTGTCTTATTTACAATATTCCTATAACCCTTACATTACCTCATGTTTGTCTGTTTTATTAACACATTGTCCACTGACTTTTTACACTAAAAGCCCTTAACTAGCTTTAGTTCCATCACCATCTGTGCCATCCTCCACTACCACATGAAGGCACTCGTGTAAAGGCTTTGGTTTGTTAGTCATTTCAATTCAATTTTCTGCAGGTCATTTGTTTGTTTGATTTTTGTCTTTTGTTTATTTTAATACATTTGAATATTATGAAATCTATATGTAAAACAAATGTGAAATTTAAGGATGCATTTTGTGTGCAAAACTACTGTAAGCTTTCTTCAAAGCTGACATTTTGAGATATCACAGATGGAAAGCTGATGATAAAATTAAAGATTGTTGAATTTCATTTCGTTGCCTCAGTTTCAAGGTCCTGGTAATGTGCACTGTCTCACTATGATGACTTACTTGAATATAACAAGCCTTGTTAGTGTTACTTATGACATTTCAACATTGCTAGTGTACATTACAATATTTCATGCACATCAATAAGAAAATAACAAAGTGCCATCAAAAGATATTTAATGATGATAAATGAAAATTAATATGTGTTAAATTAACCATGTATTTACTAAATTATTCTCCTACACTAAAACACTGCAGCAGAGCCACTTAACACAGTAGATTGGACTGAACATTCATTAGCAACAGAAAAAAGTGGCTGAAAAAGCCAATAAACCTCTCAACAGGTTCTCACAAATACTGAAACATCAACTGCTGATAGAAACTGTACGAGCCAAGCTGAAGAAAAAGGAACAAAGTGGATTAGCCACTTCTATACACAGTATTTTTTTAAATTAATATTATGAAACTGTGGCAAGTGAATGTATTGCATATGATGAAACATAACAAGATAACACAGGTGTAAAATACTATTACTACTCTATTAAGAGCCTCCAGACACTGTCTCAAATGCAGACAGAAACACACCATAACTCAGTCTCTCCTCAAACTGTCCCAAAAACAGAAATAGTTCCTATGTGTTTTAGACAGTGTATCAGAAATGTATTGCTTAAAGTTGAGGTGACTCTTACTGGCTGTAATTTGTGGCGGTATACTGCATGTATAGAAAAGAGAAATACATAGGACCTAAACAAAAAGAAAAACCAGACAGAGGAAAACTGCAATTGGTGATTAATCACATTGTAAAGGTTAAATGCTGTGGTGGTATTAACTGAAAAGATAAAAGAAAGATTGACGGTAAAGATGAATTAGAAAAAAAAGTGAAACATTCACTAATGGCACTCGATAATAAAGTATCCACAGTCAACGTAAAGGAGACCTGGGTATAAACAAAACGAAATGAAGGGATAGATGATAGAACAACTGAGTAGTCTTGACATCAAATACCTGTGAATTGGTGTACTGCTCAAAAACAGAAACTAATTCTTTAAAAATAAATTCACCAATATGTAAAGATAAAACAAGGCTTTTTGTCAAAAGCTCAAAGTGGAGAAAATGAATCTATGCTGGAAATAAAAGCTCCAAAGCTAAATAAATAAATAATGTGTTTTGTTGTTTGAAATAGTTTTCTTGCATCAGCCAAACTCAATATTAGTATGCAGCTGGAGGGAAAACCAAGGTTACCTATCAGGCAACACAAAGTTCCTGGGTAAGCAGGAAATGCCATAACCGGCATGAGATTCCTTGGATGTGCCGAGGGTTGCTTTAGGGCCAAATTACCCTCACTACAATCAGCCACTTTTTACAGCACTGACAAAGACCCTCCAGCTGTGCCCACCCTCTCAGCTCTGCTGTAGGAACACAGCAGTCTATGGGCCCTAAGAGAAGTGTGGAAGCGCCAGTTTTGGCCTTCAATATAGTTGTCTTTAATCAACTCAATGACCATTAACACTCTCTTTCTCACGGCCTCATTTTGTCATCAGCCTCAAATGTAATGCCACTTGCAGAGTACACACTCACCAACTAGGCGCAGAGACTCAAGGCTCCAGCCTTTCTGAGACTTCTCAAGTCTCCCTGTCTCTTTCCAGGGGAAGCTCTCTGATCTTAACACATACATACACACACACTTCACCACAAGAGGGAAAAGGCTCATTTAACCCACCCTGCTCTCACTACATTTGCTTGATTTTTATAAGAAGTGGTTCTACTCTTTCTTGATCATTTCCTCCTCCTTCTCTGCTCAAGTGTGTCTTCTCTCGTGGCTGGCTGGCAAGCAGGCTTCCGCAGTTGGGTTCCTTTGATTCCAGCTTAGCCTGGTTCAGCCCACTTTGGCCCAGCTGAGGAAAGCAGGGATGTCTCGCACTGGGACGTTGCGGGTCAAAGCTTTGACGCGCAGGTTACGGTCATCTGTAAGGAGCACCACTTCCCTTTGGAGCTTCACTGTCCCGTCTGTGTGGGGGACAAGACAAAGAGATTAGTGTCAAACACACCTAGATGGCTTTACTCAAATAACATGTTTTCATATGTGAGGAAATGTGAAAACAAATGACAATCAATGTTACATACTTCTCTGATCAGGCATGAAATCTTTGGCCTTGTCTTTGCAGTAGTTGAGGCAGCAGGACAGAATCACATCGTCATTGGTACCCTGAGGAAAAATAAAAAACAAAGTCACCCAAAAACTCAATTACCAAAAGTTTTCAAACAAAATACAATGTTCCAAACATTTTGAGCTACATGTCTGTGGGCTCTCACCTGCTGTCCAGAGGTGTCTTCACTGCGGAAGGAGATAGACTCGAGCTGGTTCCCTCTGCTGGTCAGAGCTCTGAGACACGGCTCCCTGGCTTCGAAACCTTTCTCTAGGAAACCCACCGCCAGCCGGGCCTTCTCCTGCACGGCCCGCACATGGGCTGTATTGACATTATAGTTGCCACGGCAACCAGTGATGCGCCCTCCTGGTCCCATTCCTCCAGCAAAGTTGTCCTGGCCTTTAGCCAAGCCATCTAATTCTGTAATCACTGAGAGAAAACACATCACAGCATGAGTATACATGAACAAATATGTTTACCATTTCAAAATTAGACACATGGTGCATTCTTATAATATCAACATCTTAAATTACATTCCCCCTAACCCTCTTACTAAAGAGCATTCTTTCTAATCCACTGATTTATTTCCCCTTTCTGTATTTCAGCCTTACCGATGAGTGGCACAACTATAATGTATGTTCCACACTGAAGGACTCTCTTCAAGCCTCCTAAGTGATCAATGAATCCGTTGGTATCTGGAACCAAAAACCGAGGCCTCACTTCCAGCTCCAACTGCCCGCCTGTTTGCAGCACCGCCTGAAACACACACAAGTTACATGATACAACATTCACCACTGCCAGCTCTCACTGTTTCTCATTACATTCACTAATTATCCATCACAATTCATTTCCTTATCTGATATCTATTGCTATGAAGGGTACCTGTATTTTATCCCTGCGCTTCTGTTGCTGTGCCAGTTTGTTGGTGAGAACATGGCGTCGCGCCTTCAGTTCTCTGATGTCATTCTCACTGTCTCCCACATCTTCGGCGTCCTCCTCTCCCTCTGATGCCGAGAGAGACGACTCTGCCTCAATTATGACGTCATCAGCCTGCCACGGTTAAGACACATTATAAGCAAATTGCCTTCCAATACTTACAACTTACTTATACTTAGCTGACCTGAAATCAAGCTTTATTTACATCATTTTTGTATTGTGTAACATTTTGGAAGAAAGTAGTGCGATGAGAGAAAAATAAAGAGAGGAACTGAAGAAGACAGTATTAGAGGGTAAAGACAGTCACCTCTTTCTCTGTCTGAGAGTCCTGCCTGCCCTTTGTATTCTTGGAGTGGTTAAGTGGAGGAGAAGTTGCCACAGAGATGTATTCGCCTCCCTTGAAGGCCAACAGAGGCTCTTCCTGTCCACACAAAGCCTCCAGAAAGTACTTCAGCACCGTCACTCTCTTACAATCTGCTGCTATTGCCTGAGGAAAGAGGAGGTGGGATTATGTGCATGAGAACAGGAAGAGAACATTTAAGAATAGTTGTTCAATCTAGACGGTGAAAGGATTATACTTAGTGAGGTCTGAGAAGTATGAGTAATGTGCCCGTGTTTCAAAATACACCTTTACTCTCCACTTACCACGTCAGTGTGTCTGTCTGTGTAGCAAGGCTCCTGTGGTGCAGCGAGCAGCGGCACGAAGCCAGCCAGCAGCCGGTCCTCCTTCAACTGCAGCACGGTCAGCTCCTCATCGCCATCAACTTCTTCAGTGTCGGCTTTGTACAGCGGCACCTCCTCATGGTCCACACGGGCTAGCATGTTACACAGGTCAGCCAGGCCCTGCCACACATCAGGGCTGCCGCTGATAGAGAGGGAAAGCATTTAGTACGTTATTCCTTCAACAACCCACTGTCTGAAGAGACTTGGGGAGAGTGTAGTTTGTGTACCAGCAGAGCACACACACAAAGAAATAAATAGTAATATAAAGGGGCCAACAAGAGTCACTGAACGGATGAGGGTTACTCGATTTGCAAGTACTCACTCTATGCTGCACGGTGGTGGGTTCCACTGGTCTGGCTGTCCCAACATCCAGTCAGACCACACCTTGATACTTGGCAGCAGCTCTCTGAGGTCCAATGAGAAGGCAGAGACCCTCACCATACCCTCAAGCTCCTCCCCTTTGCCCTCTTCCTCTCCATTTGCCATGGGGACTGGTTCTTAAAGAGAGAAAGAGACATTTTTTTAAATACAACTGTTGAAGTCATATTTTGATCTCCTCCACAGACTGATGAACAGTGCTGTTATATAGACACTATACACAAGAGGGCTGATGGTGGAAGATAGCATGACAGGATCATAAGTGACCTTTTTGGTCATATTGTTCATAGTTTTAAGTTTTATTTAATGTCTTTGACGGAGAAATTGTAGTTCATATAAGACGTGGGTTTGTAAGAGGTAGCAGTACAATTGCAGATTTGGCAGATCAATTGAGTCAATCAACATTTGGTTGGTCTAGAGAAGGATCCTCTAGTCACCAAGGATTTGGGAGTTAGTCTCTGAGGTTGAGTCAAACCGGACAGGTGACTAAAATAACTCTTTGCAAACTGTAAATATAAAGTAGATAACTCATAATATTAAGTTTCGCTTTGGAACATTTAATGCTGTAGGAAATGTGTCAGTTGGCCCAATAATGTCCACCAATGTTCTGTGGTGTCGTACTCTTGTAATTCTTAATTCATTATTGAACAGTTTTTCCTATATAGATCACCAACATATTATTATATAGTAGATAATATTATATATGTGGCATTTTATATAGCATATTATTATATATCATTATTATACATGAGTGTAGAGCCACAATTCCAGAACATGCTGCAGATCATTCAGGTGTTGTGTGTACCTGTAGGAGTTTCCTTCAGCAGCTCGGTGCAGCGCTGCACCAGCAGAGCAAACATGCCCAGACCCAGGGCGGTGCTCTGCTCCTGTAAAACGGACCGCACCTCCTTGTCTTCAGCTGGAAAACAAGGGACAGGAACTTGAAACACCCCTTCCTCAACACTCTTTTGATCAATATTACAAATGACTTGTGTGAAGCATGACAGTTCATTTGGATATTGTATTTAAGTTGGAGAACTGCATGTGGAAAGATGAGATACATAAGACACATTTTACAACTAAAGAAATCTTTGTTAATCACCTATGTAAGTATAGAAAGCATAAATAAACTAAATGTGTTAAAGCGATGAAGCAATGCATGGTTTTTATGGTTTGTGGCATCACCTCGGCTGTGGGCGTTGTGTATTGTGAACATGTTGATGGTGATGATCTGCAGCATGTGCGTGCTGCCCAGTAGTGAAGGGCTGTGCTGAAGCAGCGTCTTAAACTCCAGCAGAACACGGGTGGCCATTCCGGGGAAGGACTCCATTCTGTAAAGACACAGACATTTATAACACACACCGGAAGAATAGACACAACATGCGAACAAAAAGAAATGATTCCTTCAAGCTCATTCAGTTAGTGAATTTAAGAGCTGAATACATGAGACGTCACTCACCCCACTTTGGTGAAGAGCTTTCCATGTGCATGCAGGAAGCTCAGAATGACTCTCTTATTTAGCTGGAGGAGAAAAAGAGAAGGCCAGAAGGGAACATCTTTTAGCAACAGTTATATTTAGGTACAACCTGTACAGCACATGAAACATGAAACCACATGTGTTCATCAAGTGCATCCGAGAATTAGAACAATGGGGACAGGAGGAAATGTACTGAAAGGCGATTGAGGTTGGAAAGAGCAGAGGACACACATACAGATGCCTCTTCCAACAGAATACACGGACAAATAGTGAATAGAAGCGCAAACACAAAATGAAAATTGTTCAAATAAGAAGGTGAATGACGAGGTTAAGAGAGTCTAAACCAGGGGTGTCAAACTCAAGGCCCGGGGGCCAGATCCGGCCCGCGACTTCATTTTATGCGGCCCCACAAGAGCTTGCAAAGAATATAATGTTTATTATACGGTTACATACCGATTTACAGAAGCACCCATAAACTACATGTCCCACAATGCATCTCAAATATGCCTTTTTTTCTTCAAATATGACTTTTTCTTAGAATTTTATTACCTTTTCTCAAAATGTTACTTTTTTCCCCAAATGTCTCTTATTCAGCTTGCAATTATTTGCCAGACTTCTGCTTTCAGACGTAGTTAATTATGAAGTTATTACCCTATCCGAAAATAATCCAATGCAGAGGCAATGATGTAATATAATACGTTATTTCATATATATTGAATATTTATATGTGTATATAGTCTTAAAGTTACAACCGGCCCTTTGAGTGCAACCATAATGTTAATGTGGCCCGAGATGAAATTGAGTTTAACACCCCTGCTCTAGTGTGTATTACCTGTGGACTGCATTCTGTGAAACGAACTGTTCTGTACATACTATGAAAAAAGCCTTTAGATAGCCGTGGATGAAACTAGTCTAATATATAATCAATTAACCAGAATCCCAATAGCTTCAGCACATTGTATTTATACGTTTTCATTTATTTGAGCTTATAATTCTGCCAAGGGGGTCAAACATTACCATTTGTTATCTTCATGCAATAATAATTACAGGCAAAGCTGCATTTTTTAACATTGTTTGTTACTTATTACTCTATCCAATTTGCCGTCAGTGTTGCAGTTTAGTTTTCTATTTACATGATGGTATTCAAATTATGTTTGGGGATATGATCGCTCACAAAACAGCTTATCTGTAATAAACAGGGAATCAGGAAATGAGCTTTACTCAACTTTGACATTACTTAAAAAGCTCAAGCTCTTGTTAGACTTTTCTAAATCAGTACGTGCTGTGATGGAAACACAGTGGACTAAATGAGTGCAACGTCTCTGTGCTGTCAGACCTGTCTTAACACAGAAACCTGCTGAAACATGAGTGACTTAAACAGCTCGTGCTACGCTCTAATTTCCCTCGTTAACTCTGTGAGGAAAATCTGAAAACATTATCAACTGCCAAGTGTTGTTCCTGCCTTAAAAATGGCACCAGGTTCAAACTAAAATTCACATATGTGTGACAAAATAGTATCTTTTGAGGCTTTGAAAATGGTTTAAAAATCTGGTTCCATCTAAGTTGCCAAAATGCTGCAATTGAGGAGGTGTTATTGTACAGCTGTTCCAATTCAGGACTAAAACATGTGTTAGCATCACAACACTGCAAATGAATGTAGATCCTTCTCACACTCACTGGAAATAATAGATTGAACTTAAGGGGATTACACTCATTTAACTATAAATAGCCTGTCAATCATGATTGTTTGTTTTCCCTTTTCTGGAAATACCTCAGTTATAAAATAAACCAAGCCAAATGAAATGCTGTGCTTCAAGATGTAAATGGTAGGAAACCCAGATACTCCAAAAATAAGCATGACCTGTTTTAAGGCAAAAATGTAATTCTACTCCAAAGCACAAAGTAAGCAGGGTCGTGCGCTTCTTTTGCAAAAGTACAATCTAAAATGAGACGGCTTTTACCATTTCTGACGATACCCGTCTTATCCTCATACCGCTTACTATTACTATGCCTTGAGATCTATACCTAGAGACTGATTTTGCACATTACATGCTGTACATTTCACCTTCTTAAATGAAAATCAAACTATCAGCTAATTAATCAGCAGCAGAAAGGAATGAGATGATAATAAGACCTTTCTTAAAAGGGCAAAAGTGGATCTGAATAACCCAGAGGTAAGGCGGAGATAGGACCCGCGCGCTGAACACTGATAAAGGTTTTACCTCCGTTACACACGCTAAGACGCGGGGCTCGGCTCTGGATTCAAAGCACGCCTCTGATTTCTCAGCTCGGGGAGAGAATGCTGTAATAGTGGACATAATGGCACAAGGAGTGTTTGTTGTTGGAGCGTGTGTGTGTGTGTGTGTGTGTGTGTGTGTGTGTGTGTGTGTGTGTGTGTGTGTGTGTGTGTGTGTGTGTGTGTGTGTGTGTGGTAGTCGTAGGTGTAGTGTAGTAGTAGTACGTGTAGTAGTAGTGTGGTGGTGGGTGTGTGTGTGGTTGCTGTGGTTGGTGTGGTGTGTTGTGCGGAGACTGTGGTGAAGTGAAAGAAGTGGCAGAAGGAACTGTGTGACGGTAGTAGAAAAAATGCCGCAGTGGATGTTGAAACCAAGCCGCCATACATCCTTGTTAGACTCCTGTCTTCCCAGCGGCCCAGAGCAGATCCATCCATGCACCCTCAAGGTAACACACACTCGCACACACACGGAATACATAGAGGCACTAACAGTAACATCACTAAGACACTTTACTGGGACGTGAATCAAAAATGCCAAGGCTATGTTCGTGAAAGGAGTTATCACATGAAGACGTCAAAGGGACGCTCATTCGTGATACACTAACACTTTGGGTTGGAATAGGAGAACAAAGTTCTGGTTCTTAGAATTTTTTCACACACAGTTTATCTCAGCTCATGCCTGTCATACCTGTACATGTTCTGAAACATGCAGCAGGTCACCACGGGAAGTACGAATCAAATACTTAATATGCTGACTGGCGCATTTATATGTGCGCATTATGTATTTAGGCACACACTGATGAATATACTTCATGTCATACGTCGAAATCTTGTTTTCTGTACACATACAATGTCCTGCGATACAGTTAGCAGCGCTGCATGCTTAATAAATGTCATTTCGGGATTATGTGTATATTTGAATGCTGTGTAGCCTTAACTCTCAGCTTGAAATGCTCATTTACGGGTAATTCCCAAACGTTGTTTTTTTTAATCTATCTTCATTCCCAAAGTAAGGGGTCACATGGAGAGTCGCGCGCCTTCTAGCATATGGGCTATAATTGAAAGGAGAGACAGACAAACAGAGAGATAAAGAAGAGAGAGAGAGAAGGATGAGTTGAGAAGAGAGTGTTGTGTCCGTGTGTGTGTGTGTCTTCGGCGTGGGAGAGGTACCTGGCATATGGTTTCCTCTTTGCAAGCGCATTCTTTACTGTCATGCGAACCCGTGATAGCAGAACAATATAACACGACTGTGTGTGTGTGGTGTGTGTGTGTGTGGTGTGGTGTGTGATGTGTGTGGTGTGTGGTGTGTTGTGATGTGTGTTGTGGGTGTGTGTGTGGTGTGTGTGTGTGTGTGGTGTGTGTTGTGTGTGGTGTGTGTGTGTGTGTGTGTGTGTGTGTGTGTGTGTGTGTGTGTGTGTGTGTGTGTGTGTGTGTGTGTGTGTGTGTCTGATTTCTTCAGGGCTGCCATAAGCTGGCATTAGAAAGTACTATTTGTAAGATGTACGAGGACACACAAACACACAGACTTGTGTTACTGGCGTCTTCTACCAGCCTTCTATTAGTTGCAGCGAAAATGTCAACCAGCAAACACACGCGCAAACGCACACACACAGATCAACGCGTGTTAAAATATAACGATTCAGGCCTCTCTTATTGGCTTGGACAAGCAAACAAATGCTTTCAAATATGATGACGCCGCTTCCAACTCTCTCTGTGATCACTCATTTTGAAAGCCAATATAGCCGGTTACATGCACAGCTGTTTTGGTTCATTTGCAATCATAAAATTCAGATTTGATTGACGTCTTGGTGCAGCAGCACAGTGCATACTGTTCTCACACACAAACACGTGCACACATTACATTACCCCAACTTGGGAAAAATGCTTTACTGCTCCACTTTGCAAAGAAAGCATCAGAATTCAGATCCACCCTTCATTCAGAAACTAAAACTAATTTGGGAGTCGGGCAGGAAGAAGCATGATGAAGAGAAGGAATTGAGGAGGGAAAGGGGTCAGAGAAAGGTGGTTTAAAGAGGGTGAGGAATTGAGAGGATTATATAGCCAAGGTGGAGGTGGATCGAGTGGACAGACTTTGTGAGTCTGGAAGGAGGGTGGAGTCGAAGATGTGCATTCATAATTCATTTCCAAGCTGCTCTGTGAGGTTTTCTGTGTGAAGTACAATGTGTGTGTCCGTGGGGTGGTGTGTGTTTGTGAAACCATCCAAGTAGTACACCTTTGGGGAAGCAAAAGTGTGTGTGTTCATGCATGCTTTATGGCATTTAGATGCAGTATAAAGAAGTGTGTGTTTGCACGTTACGGCAAGTGTTAGTGAAGAGTGTGCCTGTGAATGAATGATTTTCAGTTTTCTGTGTTTTTCCAATGGGTCCTCAAACGTGTGTGTGGTTGTAGGTGTGTTTGTGTGGCCTTGAGGAAGAACATCTAAACATTAATGGAATTGTGACGAGGGCTGTGGCCCCCATGCTGGAAAATGTCAGGGACACACTGCACTGTGGGTCTTTATTCGCCTCGGGTGAGGGGAGAGAGCGGAGTCACTCCGCCTGGAATAAAATGTTTCAATTCCAAATCACGAATTGCCAAGATGTATTTTGACGAATAATGCTTGTCCTTGAGCGTGTGAAAAAAGATTCCTCGTGGAATAAAAAGAAGCCAAAAATAAAGAGAAAGTTCAAGGAATTATTTTTGAGTTTAGCCTGTTCAATTTGCGGGATAAATTGGAACGTGTATCTGACCCTGACATGAACCAAACCTTCCACCTTAAAGAGTTGTTTAAACCAAATATGTTCTCATTTGCCCCCTTGTGGGTGTGTCA